CAATCTCCTCAAGAATACAGCGACCGTACTCTATCACCTTACAACCTATTCGCCACTAATAACTCTACCCTCGACAACGATCCTTCTGGACATTACAAGGAGATAGACATTGGCAACTTTGTGGGAGGCCAGTCTACACGACCTGTCGCCCCAGGACATACTTTTGTCAATCCGGCCGTCGTCACTTCCGACTCGGAAACTCTGGCGCCTGGAATCCCAGTCTTTGTCAATTATATGAATGTCGCAACAGGAAATGCATTCATGACCACATTCTTTACCGTCCTTTTCTTCTTTATCTGCTCTGTGTTCCTTGCATGTGTCGTATTCGGTCTGTTGAGGTACCTCAAGAAGAAGCGAGGATCGCTATGGGCAGACCGGTGCTTGCAAGGATATCATCAAACTATCATATCCAATGGACTACGTATCGTATGTACACTAATATCAATAACTGGGCTATGGTTTATTCACACTTTCCAACAGCTTCAGATATGTATCCTGCCCATCTTCGTAATGTGCTTCTTCCAGTGGTCGCTCCATGATAACTGGTTGTGTACTCTTCTCTCAGTATTTACTTTCCTCTGGGTTCTCGCTGCCCTATTCTTCCCACTACGTACGGCATTCCAACTTGTCTTGAGCGAGAAGAAAGGTTCAGAAGACGCGGACGATCACAAGCGCATAGAACGAGAGAAGATGGTAGAAGAGCATCATGTTGGAGCTTTTGTTGGTCCATATCGCCCTGGGCGCCGCTTCTTCTTTATCATCTCCCTTCTCACTCCACTCCTCCGCTCCACATTCGTGTCTGGGGCTCGGCATAACGGGTTCATCCAAGTCGTCGGCCTGATCGTTTTGGAGACCCTCTATCTTATTTCGCTAATCGTTCTTCGGCCATATTATACTCGAGGGGCCGATGCGCTAGAAATCTTCCTCTCGCTCACCAGGTTGATCACCACCGGTGCACTTATCGCATTCGTCAAAGAGAAACTGGCAGTCACGGCTATTCCCCGAGTAGGAATCGGTATTGGGCTCGCCGTAGTGTGGTGTGTCGGTATCGTGGTGGTGATTATCAACATCCTGGTGAACATCCTTCCCTGGAAGAAACTATGGTGTCGAATCACTGGAAGAAAGCATGTAGAAGAGAATGCCGATAGCGTGAACGAACTCGAAAAGGGTACCGTGGACGCCACTCTACCAAATTCAGAGGCTGCCTCCACTGGCCGAAGCGACTCGAGCATTGCCCCACACAAAGAACACGACAAAACTGCAGCCGTTGATGATAATGAACGCACAAGAAACACCATGATGGTGCAACAGAACGACAAATAGAGATCCCCTTCCCGTGGTCATGATA